AAAGAAGCGTACAGCTTGTTAAAAACTTTGGCATTCTCAGAAAAACCTATTTTACTTTCCTATGCAACTCTTAAGGAATCATTACTAGACCATGTTAAGTGTACAGATTCCGAACGCTGTAATGGAGCAAAATCCCCTGGAATGATTCGTCAGGATATCCAGAATACCACTACATTACTACGTCATCCTAATCCAATGGGTACTCAAGGTTATGCAGATAACAATTCATTGAGGAGTTGCGATGCAGGTCACAAAGATGAGCACAAGTTTGGTAGATGTTTGTCCTGTGGTGAATTTCACTCATGTAATTCATGCATACTTCGTAATGCTAAATGCTTTAAGTGTGGTGAGATTAAACACATACATGCAGTTTGTAATACTGCTGTTCATTTCACTGTAAGTAATGCTTAACTTTGTAGTTCCTATTCTATTAAGTTGAATGTTTCAAATGAATCATACTCTGATCACATTCATGATATTATTTTACCAGATGACGTTTTTCTCATGATTCACGTATTTCTAATGAAATTATTTACAAATATGTGGAAGATATATCGAGTAACGAAATCCTGATCAGAACTCTTATTTTTCAGATGTGGTTTGTCCCAATGATTCATTTACTTCTAGTGAAATCCTAATTAAATGTGAGGAACAAGTTCTAAATGAATTGAAATCTGATCAGAGTCCTTGTAGTATCGCATCAGATGTTATTTGTAATTTTTTAAATGAAATTATTAATAAATTTGAGGAAAATATTTCAGAAGAATCGAATCCTGATGTCATCAAATGTTATTTGTCTTCACAATGGATTTATCTCTAGTGATATTCCTAATGAATGTGACAAACATGTTCCGAATGAGTCGAATTTCAATCACATTTCTAATGTTATTGTATCTGATGTTAGGTATTCTCACAACCAATTTATGTCGAGCAGAATCCCTAGTCAGTGGTATAATGAATCAGAGTGAATAGTAAGTTTTCCTGAAGCATTCGGAGAACCGGTTTTCCCAGATATGAAGTTTGCGCAGGCAAAATATTCAAGTCGAGTCCAAGATTATCTTAATGAGTATGAGGCAGATGCACATTTTCCATTTGATTGTTTTGCAAGTGAATCAAGCCTAGATGAGTCACATGTGTTAATTACAGATGTCAATGCATATTTATCTGATAACTAGAACAATGGCCTTGTGTATTCTAACGTGAAAAGCAAAAGGAATATGTATCGTATTTTTTATGCAAGTCAGTCACATGATGGAACGCCTCAAATTATATGTTAGAGTGTATCCCCGATTACTCATATATAATGACCGAAGTGTGAGATTTAAGATAATAAAAATTTGTCATAACATTGTGACATAGGGATTCAGCATTATTTCGTGGGAGAGGATAGTATTGCAAAGTCTATGATTTAAATTCTAGATATTAGTGGTTTTGTAGTGAACAGAACACGGGTGGGGACAATCGAATGTATGTAACACAAGAATTACAGATTATCTCAATAAAATCTGAAAACCATATAGTAAATCATCAATTTGCAAAATATCAATGCATCATATATAACTGGACTGTTCCTGTTGCAAACACCAATCCATTGTCTCACATTCCATCGTTCATGAGTTTTCTTACAAATTCCATTGTGTTCTCGCTCTTCCCCTTCTGCTGCCATACATTATGTTCTTTTAACTCACGTTATATACTACTAATATCAATATAAGTAGCATGCACCACAGTTTCACTACACAACCGACATGGTGATTGTATTCAAAGGCAGTGCCCAGGTGAGTCTGTTCCAATTTCAGTTGTTAATTTTAATACTAATGAGCATATTTTAGATCATACAGAGTCTGTACTCAATACACAGTCTGGCAGACATACAATGAACCTAAGGAGATGACGGTCAGTCGATTACAGGAACTTAGATTCCAATTTCAGCTCTGCTGGTTGTAGTGTTTGTATGAATGACTGATTTCTTTGTACGCGATGTTTGTCTGATTTCGAGTTCTGAATACAATGCGTTTGTTTGTGCTCACCCAATTCTGTTTGGCTTAAATTGCGCTATTTCAGGGATTCCTAGTTCGTTTAACAATTCGGGCTTGCCTATCGTGATGACCCAGCCGAGCTATATTGGCTGGAACATATGTTCCTGTAGGTTCTACCATGCCAGGAAGGTCGATTGAAGAACGGTAAGACCAAAAGCAGCAACTCAAGGTCTGAGGAAGAAGTCGTACTGCTGACTGTAGAGGGGTGTGACAGCAGTAAGGTGTTTCCCTCGGACAACCAGCATCTGCAGCGATGCTGCCTTCCCACAAGTAGGGGTGGGGTTAGAAAAGGTCGGCCCTAAAAATGTCACACCTCACCTTACCTCACGGATTTCCGTCTCCGGCGGTAAGGCCTTATGAAGAACGGAGCTAACTCATTAAAAACCCTCCACAAAAGGACCGTGCGCGACCGGCCTCAAGCAGTTGTCCCTTGGGCTCCGCAGCCACGCTCCCAGGTCTTTAAGACCAATACTAATCCGACTTCTTTTTCAGGTACCTCAAAAAATACCCTTCCACGGTGTAGGAAACCGGGAAGTGATATCAGCCCTCATACCCGTAACAGCGCACGAAACCAAGTTGGTCACATTCAAATCTTTCCTACACCTCCTAATACCTCTCTTATTTTCATGGCTAACCCTCCTCACGTTTCTTTATCACCTCGCACCGGTAGGGCAAACGATTCGGGTACGCGGAACGCTATTCCTGGTCTCCTGAAATCACGCTCTAAACTACACGTAGGAGCTTTTAACGTCCAAACACTGTGCCAAATAGGACAACAGGCTTCCTTAGCTAAGACTTTAGAATCCCGATCCATCGATGTGTGCTGCGTCTCCGAAATGCACATGCAGGATCCGAGTAGGGTCATTCACTTGACCTCACCATGCCAAAATAAAGAACCGACTCGATCCACACTTCGTGTATCTGGAAGCCCTGATTCTGCTTCCCGTGGCCTCGCCGGTGTATGTATAGCATTGAGTCCTAGGGCAGAACTAGCTCTCTTAGAGTGGATCCCAGTAGACAGTCGTTTGTGCGCTGTCCGACTAGACGGAACAGTAAGAATCCGAAAAGATAGGGACACTCGTCGTTGCCTGTGATTACACATAATTAGTTATCAAGAAATAAGATATATAGTCTTTTTATTGTCGTCATACCAATACTTTATCTACCCGTTCCTATATACGTTTTCTTCCTGTAGGGTATACGAATGCTGAAGAATGCCTCACTTTTTTTATTAAAAATACAAACTAAGGGTATTTCAACTAATAATCAAAAACTTAACAATCTCCACAACCCCTAAACTGGTAATAATTTTTTATTGTTAATGTTTTCTGACCAAACTATATCTAACACCACTTAGTCATTGACACGGTTTCTAGGTCTATGTAACAGTTACTCAGTATTTACATTTTATCGATTGTCCGTACTAAAACACGAATATTTTATCGGACTGTTTTCTTTTTTAATGAGTAATGATTAATACAGGAAGTAGTAATAATTTTGGGTTTCATCGAGTTTTATGCTCACTTCGTTTCTGCAATGGAACTTACACGTAATCCCGAGTATTCGTGTTTGTACTTTGAATCTTAGCAATAAATCAACATACTGGTCCTAAAGAACAGTCACAGTTCGAAAAAATAATGTTGGGTACTCTGGTAGAATCTGAACCACCTAGTTTTCTTCCATATATTTCGTTTGTGGTCAGCAGTGGAATCCAGAAACCACTAAGGTATGAATTCTGATATTTTGAGAATCTCAAAGCATCCAACTTATTGACCGTCCCAAATCCTTTCGACATCGAGACAGTTAATCATGATCTCCAAATATTACTAACAGACCTAGCTGAGAATAGCTTGAATGAAATGATTTATTTGAAAATAATTGACTGGATCCAACCCACAAATAGCAGAGGATAAGTTACACAATCTTAGAAATGTTTCTGTTGTATGGGTTAACTTAGATTTGTGACCAAGCGTCTCAATGTACTGAACAATAGCTAACAGCTGCAAATCTAAGATCGGTATTACGCACTGTGGCAAGTAAAATGATTTCTGATCACGATTGGAAAATTGTGCACAAGTGACTCAACGAACCAACTGTTACTGTTAAAACTGATAAATGCTCAAGTTAATGTTACTTTTATTAATCGATGTGCATCTATATCTTGATTGAAAAATTAGGTTCTTTAAGCACAACAAAATATTTTATCTGATGTAAGATAAAAAGTTATAGCAGTTATTTCTCAACATAATGGATAGGCTCAGTCAGAAGTGTTTTTAATGATTATCACAGTAGGGTTGGTAGTAAAAACACATAAGAATACTTCGTCAGCGGTTTCTCTATCTTACTATGACGAAAAATGACATTTCTTATATTGTTCCCTTCAGACGTAATACAATTGTTCAGACAGCGCTTTCTAACAAAAAATCTGAACACTTCTAACGTAACAAAACAGGGTATACTGACCATTCGACACCAAACCACCAAAAGACTCATTTCCTTATTTTCTAAATACTACAGAGTGAATTGATATTTATCAGTTCAGATCATTCTTTAAATATTGTTTTGTTCGTGTTCATCCCTTGTGACTGTGTTACCATGGATTTTACTACAAAAACCATATACATCTTGATTATACCAATAAAATTTTATTATAAATGGCAAGAAATGCATTTAATAAAAACTGATAAACATTCCAAAACGACGAGATTTGATGACAGTAATATATACTGTGTAATGACCTTGAGATGGAGATGCAAGTAGAACATATACATACAAACATAAAATACCTAATAAAAAATATGAGAAAAGCTGTTTCAAAATAATCTGGAATCTGGAATTACACAACCTGCGTACAGGTACTAAAATCACATAGTTATGTATATTATCAAATGCAAACAAACGAAAGTTTGGTTCAGGAACAATTCGCATCTGCACCTGTCATGGAATCGTCATTGTCTGAGATCAGAGGAATGAATTCCGGAGGAGGATATACGTTACGTAGTGAACCAGCTGGGGCAGCAACAGGACCGAAATCATTATGATCACAAGTATCTTGTAGTTTGGTAATTAAATTTCTACAGGCGTTTTTAGAAACAGTTGTTAATTTGGATAATTTCTGATGACCAGACTTGTTCGAAAATGACTTTTGCACCCATATATGGCGCTTAATACACTAAAACGATACAAAAAACATATTGTCTAATGAAATACACATAAATTGTGAGAAACACTTTTGAACTTAGTAGAAAGACTCAGTAAGGTATTTTTAGCTACTATTACTGTAATGTTAGTCATAAAGGAACATAAGAATATTCAGTAAAATATCTGAAGAAAATGAAATTAGTTTGCTCTCATAATTGTAAATAATGGTGGACTCTTGTCAAGCAGATGAAAATGAATACTTCCAATTTTCACGCCGTGACACACTAATTCGACTTTGAAACAATTATTGTTTCGGCGTGAACATTTCGACAAACCAAAGGTAGGAGAACATAGCTCCAACGCTCCATTTACAATTCTCGGACGTAAGACAAAAATCAACCAAGAAGTCTTCCATAACAATGTCTGTAGAAAAAGTTTGTTTCGACGTTCAAAACGAACTATTTTACGAACTATGTGAAGTCGGCTATATGGAACAAATTATGACAGTTTCCTCCAGGACGGAAAAGGCATCAGGTGGTATATATATGTACGATTGTATAGCTTGATAGTAAATTCGTTGGAAAGAGATACCTTCGTCGAACTTTGTTTTTATTGCCTAAATGGGAATAACTTCAATATACAGTACCTACAAACAGTTCAAGGCATGAACAACTTTTCCATTCACTACGCTTTTGTTTCCAGCGACCTAAATTTGTTAATGTAATGTCAACACAGATGTGTTTTTTCAGTAAGTAATATTATTGCTTCTAAGATGTAAGTAGCTGAATACAATCTACGAAATACATAAATTCATATTAGTCTGTTAAGATTGATGTTTCTGCTTTACTGGAAAATGAACATACCAAGCGACCGAGCGGGCAACGACCACGAGAGAAATCCGGACATACAGCTGTCTTCGGAGGGTGCCTCACGTGCAAATAAGGACAGTGAAGGCGTTCGCACTTTCCGGATTCATAGTAAGTACATTGTGGCAGTCTACACGGATCTAACACATGAGCAAGTGGACAAGACTCGCTTCCCAGAGAACAGCTTTGTTGTAAAAACCTGTAGGACGAAAAAGTTGCTTAGGCAATAAAGTACGTTTTAGATACCAATAATAAAACAATACTAAAATTACAAAAGGAATATTTAAAACGTTTCGATAGCAACGCAAGCCCTCACTTTACTTTGAAAAACTTATTGAAAATGGGATATTGTGATGTGTTGTGTGGACGATGGAAATAGAAATGAATGACTATATGGATGGTTGAAAAAGAACAACTCAACGAAACTAGGGAGTAATTTTTATTCCGGTGTACTTCTGGTATAAGTTTAGAATAGAGCAGCCACTATCCGAGGAGTCGTGAGGCGTTAAGGGGTTTTATCTCAATAAAATTATGTACCATAACACATTGCAACTTTACGAACTGACCTCATATCCCAAACTTTAGGTCATTAACTAAACTATCAAGTAATGTTTGGTAGGAGACTCCTGGAACAAACAAAAAGTGTGACTAGAAAAGTTAGTGCTGCAAAGTAACTCATCAAATAAAAAACCTATTTCGCCAATTTTTTTGAGTAGTAATACCCAGATCAACACCTATGATTCAGATACACTCAGATGAAAGTAGTGCGTAAATTATCTTACGTAAAAGCATCCTCATCATTGTTAATAATTTCAGTAATGTACGTTAAGATTTTCAGCTAATGACTCTAAACATTTTATATAGCCACATAAGCTAATGCTGTATGACAGTTACCATTTCATTCGACCAAAATCTTTGCTTGGTCAGCATCTTAAGTTTCTATTATTAACTCACCAGTCAGGTACGGATTCGGAAACTTGATTCTGAGACACACAGGAATGATGATGCTACCCAGCTGAATATGCCGAAATAGGTGGGACAGAGTTCGAACCAGTCGGACGCATTAAAAACTGAGATACAGCTCCTTAACCTTAGTGATCGGACAGAAATCAGGGCTTTCAACGTGATATAGTCAACGTTAATGCAGGGAATACCTCTAATTAGCACACATTTAGTCACTGAATATTAACACGGCTGAAAATCTATTACGATGGCACGGATACATTTGCTCAACCTATTTCGAATAACGTAGACTAATATGTTTTCTCCTGATCTTTTAACTCAACCTATGTCAAATGAGAAACTAAGATATTTGGTTCTGCGATTTCTGTACAATTTAACTCCAGTCCCACTTGGTATAAATCTTTGTCTACTATTCTTAGAAGCAAGATCTCGCACCCATCGATTGAGATAAATAGCATTTTAGCGCAGTGAACTAACTCTGATTATTTTATGCTCAGCATGAATTATTTTAATCGCAAAATTTAGAATATTTCTGTTGCAGGTGGTAGGAAACATCATTGTTGATACTATGCACAATTCAGATACTAAACTTATGTAGATATTCACATCCCTATTCAGATAGCGAATACATTAATCTCCATTGAATATAACCATGATGTCCATGCATTAAGTCGCCTAAAATCGTCCCATTAACAAATAAAGCCAGTTCTATTAACACATCTAAAACAAAAATAAGTAGGAATGTCAGTACGTCTCACTTATAAAGTTCTCTTCAGATTTTAATTACAGAATTACTAAATCATTAAATTCTGACAAATATATAAAGCGATGAGAAACTATACCGAAAGTTAGTTTTCCAAAATGAACATCAATACCTTAGTGGTCTAAAAGTACCAAGTTTATCGACTCGCTAGTCACTAACTTTCCAACCTGTCCCATCCCTTAACTCTATATGGTTTCAAAGCTCTGTTGTGAAGTAATTCATGCTCACAATAAGAACCATTATCACTAACACACAATAAGAACTATATTGTGACTTCGCCAAACTGGTCCGTAAAATACTACTCAGTCAGGCTTCATTTACAAGCCAAAATATACACCAATAAGATTAACGAAGTGCAACCTACCTTGGGCAGATACGTAGATAATTTTCATCATGAGAGTAAGAGCACTGCTGCGCGGAGCAAAATCCAGTCCTGCAGTAACTTTGACAAACCATACGGCGACGGAACTTCAAACTGTGCACAGCCTTCTGGACAATTCTCCTGAAGTATTATCAATACGAATAACAGACATACTTGTACTGATATGCAGATGGACGAGATATATTGAGCCGGTTTATTTTCTTAATGGAAAACTTCGTGACAAGCTGTAAGTTATTTTTAGATGCAAGCCTCGAACTAGCTGAACTACCAGGCTTGACATACCTAAACCGACTAGTTTTAGTATGCAATACATTGCTACTGCTAGGTGGTAAACGAACATTATTTTCCTGAACCCGACTTATCACACCACTAGAAATTTCGCTACTAAATACTTTATCCTGATGCTGTGAGAAGTCCGGGACGGGGGTCAAAAATTGTTGATTACCGTTCCCGTGATCGCTTTTTCTAATATAATTGTAGGATCTATTTCTGCCAAACTTTGTGTTGTATGTCTGACTCCCGTTAAATCTAGAATAAATACTAGAGGGACTGTGTTTAAATACATGTGCACTAGTTAAGCTAGAACATGTGTATTTATCCCACTTAAGAGGGCTGGATAACGGGCGCCAAAACAATGATGAATTGACTTTGACATACTTATATCTATTTTGACAATTCGGTACCTTTAGTTTGTTTGACTGGCCTGCAAACCACTTCAAAGACCTATGATGTGTGTCCATAATTTGCGCAGAAAACGTTAAATGACCCGCCACTATACGAGTGATTCAAGAGGTTCAAATGGTCCGAATGGTTGTGGAGGGAACAGCAGAAGCTTTCGCTTAACGAGCTACCGTGTCTAGTAGCAGTGATTCACCAATACCTCCAGGCAGGAATCTAGATATATTAACGATAATGGAGGAAAAAAGAAATCGGTAAATCATATTAAGATACTATCCTTAGTCCTTAATAATAGGTCGAGTTTCCTCTTAAAGAACTCCTAGGAAGTCTCGTGGACTAGCTCAGCCGTCAGAGAATTCCAGCATATGACTACTCTTAAGGAGTAGAAGTTGTGTCTACAGTCCGTTCTGCTGTGTTGTGTCTGTAGTGACCTACTTTTAGCAGGAGAACGAGATTGGTGTAACGGAAACAATTATTATTAAAACCAATTGTACCAGGGATTTGTCATATCCGAGCGAAGATTAAATCACGAGGAACTTCTGAGACATATTAATTGACTAATATTATCTATACATTTTTGTGGTATAACTATTCAATAATTAGATTACGTATATTTAAATTCCTCCTATCATAAGCTTTTTTACTTATAATTTATTATTGTACGATTTACGGTTCTTAAGCTATGTTCAGTTTATTGACTACTCCCTCTTACGTTCACGGTCATTTTTTGGCTTTATTGTGTACAAATGTTATTTCCTATTTTATGGTGCGTTGCGGTCTGTTTGGTTGATATATAAACCCAGTATGTCTGAAATAAATGATTCGATTCTATTCAATTTGCATATCGGAAGCTGGTATTTGGTGTTCTGGATTCAAGTGGACGGGCTAGGTGGAAATAGGACCAATAAGGACGCCAAACTGCCCATACCAGTCGAACGTCATTGATTTTGACACAGTGCGAAGATAGTATAAGTCGTATTTTGATTGGTGGATAAACCACGTGATAAAAGCCGGACTTAAAGTCATAAAAGAATTGTTTTACCTTACTTATTTGTTTAACTGTTCAAAAATACATACAGTCTCCCGTTGGTTGTGACCTTGAACGGTCTTACGTTTGCTCAACAGTTCCACTTGTACTCCTTTGACACGATCTCGGTATTCTTTCGATGCCACGAGATCTCCGACAAATATATCTCGCTACGACCTTCAATCGCCTTCTGATTTCTGGTTGACTCGGTGGTCTAGCCTGTTCTTGCACGCAGTCTTCTTGTAGTGGTGACCATAGTCAAAGGTGGCTCGACGCCTCACTACAACTGGTGAGCTAGATCTGGGAACATGTCTCAACCTCTGGAAAAACTCTCAGAGAAGACTACTCCGGCGAGTCCATTATCTACCTATCCACTTTTGTTGCACATTTTCGTATCGATATTTTTCAATACATGGAATACGGGCAACAACTGATATGGTATATAAGTTTGGCATTATTACGATAGACTCCGATGTACGCGTACCGAATCTTAGGCGCGACGATATATTCCACCCTTTATTCGGGAAATTTCCCCAAATAATTATTTTTCCTGCTGACCCGGCTGCTTGGTATGGAAAGCATACGCAATACCGACTACCACCTAGCATCCAATGGTTTGGTTGAACGGATTCATCGCTAACTTAAATTAGCTCTTCGAGCACACGAAAACAATAACTGGTACGAAACCTTACCGCTCGTCCTCTTAGGCATCAGGACGAGCTTTAAGGCAGATATTCAATGTATCGCCGCTGAACTTGTATACGGCACAACATCGCGTCTGCCTGGGGAATTTTTCACACCAGAGATCAGTAACGACTTTGGTAAATCAGACTACTCCCATCGACTGTCTGAATTTATGCGAACACTGTCTCTGGTGTCATCTTGAATACAATATCGACAAGTCCCTCGAGAGTTATCTACCTGTTCACATGTTTTTATGGCAGCGTCTAGGTCGTTAACATTGGTCTTCTCAAGCCAGCACACGCCGATGACAGTGCTCTATCTGATAAATTGAGACTCAATGCCAGACCCATCAAACCTGTTAGCATGATCTCTACATCTGTCTAGGATCCCACGCTAGATACATCAGAAACCTCATTCTCACATCTCTGTCAACAACACGTGTCATCTTGCACCATCGACGAGACTTCTGTCTCACGTCCAGATCAGCAGCCCATGCCGCCTGCGAGATGAGATTGCAGGCTCACAAAGTACGAACGAGACTACCATCTCACGTTCCAGTCACCGAGTACGCCTACTCGTACGCCCTAGCGACTAACCACACAATCAACAACGGATACGGTGTAGGACTATTCCTATGCTACATGCATGCTACACTTTTTCTCTTTTCTTTTGCTTTTTTTCGTATCCTGAGCCCACGCCGACCATCACCCGTTTGGTATCGTCGATTTCAGTCAACCTTGGAGAAAGCTGGCCTGGACATCCACGCTCTTGTCAACACACTCAGCCGATGTTCTGGTTCCGAATATGTCGGGCAAACGTATGGTCTTGCACTTGGTTGTTATAGTCGCTTTTGGTTTCTTGGTTCACTGTGGTTCCGTCCTACGTCTGCAGCGTTTTTATGTTCCACACCATTACGAACGTAATATTTTGATTCTGGATACAAGCCTTTCTGATGTGGTACAATAACTCGAGTAACAAATACGGCACGTTTTTCCTGGTACCGTTCTACGTAAAAGACCTTCGGTGACAACTCGAGGATCGAGGATCGCTTCCTGTTCTGCTGACACTTTCGTCCTACAATCACACGTTTGCCGATCAGTTCCACGAACGAAACCGCTACGTATCGAAAGTGTAAACCTCTTCTCGCGTGGGGCTCATGTAGTGACCTACTTTTACCAAGAGAACGCAACTGGTGTAATGGAAACAATTATTATTATAACCAATTGTGCCAGAGATTGTTTTATCATACTTGTTTTCTTTCTTCAGAATCTTGCTCTGAGAGCACAGCTATGGAACATCTGACGTCTGGAACAAACTTGACGTACGCGCCTCTTCAAGGTCATGGTTTACAACAAGCGTTCTACGAGTCTGCTTTAGAACAACTATAAACCTAATAAGTAGGAAAGGATGCTGTGGGCCAATAAATGTCGTAATTTATAGATCATGCCTGTAAAAATGGCGTGTACCTGCTCATGTAGAAATATATTAATAATAATAATAATATATTGTTATTAACTGTACCAAAAAACATAGTCTTCCGCTGACTGTGATCTTGAACGAACTTACTTTCGCTCAACAGTTCCATTTGTACTCTTTTGGCACGATCTCGGTATTCCTGCGATACCACGTGCTCACCAGAAAATACATCTCGACTACAGCCATCAACTAGGTTCTGATATTTTGCCTACGGGGGATCTTATCGGTTAAACAGCACGTAGTCCTCCGGTAGTGGTGATCATGGTCAAACGCGACTTGACGCTACACTACATGTCTCTAGTTTCTGAGTGTTACCCCTCAGGTTTGTGTTGGAGCTAACCTTAAGTGGGTGTCTAAGGTGATGTCCAGAAGTGTTGAGGATACTGTAAGCCATTAGAAGGTCACCTCTAAAACGCCTATACCTTAATGGGTAAAGGTTTAGTGATTTAAGGTGCTACATAAATAAGGCTTCTGAAGAGTAAGAAATTCACTCAGGAATGAAAACAGCAAGTGTTTCAACGGGTTTTCATGGTCGTTTAGCATAATAGCTAGGTCTCACTGCACCTCATGTTGGATGCTTCACCTGACTGTAGTCAGCTTGCTAGTCCCAAGTTCGTCTATCACTGGATCCGCAACTATTCAAAGTGGAGAAATGTTCTGGTATCCAGTTGAAAATTGTGATTCTGGCGAATAACTCGGTATCCTTGTTGTAATTCTACAGAAGACATAATATGCTATAGATTTGTCTAATATATCAGAGGTATTCATTAGTCGTATGCTCTATAGACGTGTATTTAATGGTGCATAACTATGATGCTGAAAAAGAAGACGGAAAAGAAAACGTCAAGCGGTTCGTCTTATGATGTTTATGTCTGGTAAGTCCACGTCATTTGTGATGAATATTTTAGGGTTTTAAAGGATCGTTTCGCGAACGAACCAGAGGAAACAACCAAAAATGCTGGCAACAAATAGATGAATGACTATACGAATTGAGTCCTAAATGACTAAAAGCAGTTTGATATTATATAGATATTTGAAATGTTGCGAGGAAAATGCCGTGTTTTATTTACCATCGGCGCTGAGCTGTAACTCCGCCTGTAGCTCTTCTAGAGTTACTGCCGGTTCCAAGCTCGGATAAATGAGAAGAGTTGGTCATATATTTAGCGTTCCCATCCCGTGGAAAACTAACTCGCTAAAAAACGCTTACCAGAAAAATAATTCTGAGCTGTATGTAAGGGACTTTAGGCTTTAATCAGATGCACAGCATTCAGTTAAGTGAGTTTCAGATTTAATGAGGTTCGGAGATTCGTAGTTTACCTAGTATTTTTGTCCTTCATTACGCAAAATTATAATGAGAGCACACTGTACATCCAGTTTACAAACATAAATCTGTGATCGCTATTACTGTCAACTCATATACACCATTGTAGTAAACGTTAAATATTTATGCAAATAACTATGCAGTGCGAACTCTATTTAGGGAATTTCAATATATTTTCGCGGTGATTTATGTCGAGGCAAGTGGTCAGTTGCAATTCCTGCTCATTTTGGATTGATATACAACCGGTGACATATTTTATTTTTTGTCGGTGATATGAGGATTGTTATCAATAAGGCTTTAACTACCAAACTGATCTTTTAAACTTAGTACATCGGACAGAAAAAACTGTGTCTCATATTAGCCAAACTAGATTTTTGACGTTTTAGCAGAGGGTGTGAATATATCATAGTTTGCAATCGTTTTAAATAACAGCGGGCAGTTTTCAAGACGAGGTTGACTAATATTAGCTTTGTAACGTTGAAATTTAAACATTTATTCCATTGAGCGGAATGTAGAATTATTTTGATGCCCGATCAGGAAATACCATGAAATCA